AAGATCTTTTCTTATATTTTAAATAATCAAGACTGAGTTTGAAAAAAAAATTAGTGAGGAAAAAGTCTCTCAGCCAGGTGCGGTGGCTCACGCCTGTCATCCCAGCACTTTGGCAGGCCAAGGCAGGTAGATCCACGAGGTCAGGGTCGAGACCATCCTGGCTAACACAGTGAAACCCTGCCTCTATTAAAAATACAAAAAAATTAGCCAGGCGTGGTGGCGGGTGCCTGTAGTCCCAGCTACTTGTGAGGCTAGAGGCAAGAGAATGACGTGAACCGGGAGGCGGAGCTTGCAGTGAGCCGAGATTGCACCACTGCACTCCAGCCTGGGCGACAGAGCGAGACTCCATCTCAAAAAAAAAAAAAAAAAAAAAAAAAAGAAATTATCTCAAGTGGAAAAGCACTGAATGCTACAATGATCTAAGCTGACTGCTGGAAGGAAGTTACAGAAAGTACGATCTGAAAAGGCTAGCATCGAAACATGGGGTGCAGAGGAAATGGTGCATGGGGATCAAACAGGCAGTAAGTGTTCAGTCATTGCTCTCAGATAACTACTCCTTCTATCTTGCTTTCTGGGTCAATGAGTCTCTCCCACTGTAGCCGTGTGTGTGTGTGTGTGTGTGTGTGTGTGTGGTGTGTGTGTGTGTGGTGTGTGGTATGTGTGTGTGTGGTATGTGTGTGTGTGTGGTGTGTGTGTGTGGTGTGTGTGTGTGTGTGGTGTGTGTGTGTGTGGGGTGTGTGGTGTGTGTGTGGTGTGTGTGTGGTGTGTGTGTGTGTGGGGTGTGTGTGGTGTGTGTGTGTGGTGTGTGGTGTGTGTGTGGTGTGTGTGTGGTGTGTGTGTGTGGTGTGTGTGTGTGGTGTGTGGTGTGTGTGTGTGTGTGTGTAGTGTGTGTGTGGGGTGTGTGTGTGTGGTGTGTGGTGTGTGTGGTGTGTGTGTGGTGTGTGTGTGTGTGGTGTGTGTGGTGTGTGTGTGGTGTGTGGTGTGTGTGTGTGGTGTGTGTGTGTGTGTGTGTGTGGTGTGTGGTGTGTGTGTGGTGTGTGTGTGGTGTGTGTGTGGTGTGTGTGGTGTGTGGCGTGTGTGTGTGTGGTGTGTGTGTGGTGTGTGTGTGTGTGTGTGTGTGTGTGTGTGTGTGTTGCCAGGGAGTCTTTTACAGGTGACTATAAATTCTCATGTTACCGTCATGGCAGAGTTGGTGTGTGTGTGTGTGTGTGTGTGTGTTGCCAGGGAGTCTTTTACAGGTGACTATAAATTCTCATGTTACCGTCATGGCAGAGTTGAGCCTTAATGATTTTAAGTTGATGTGATGAAGGCATTCAATATGCCATGGAGAAAAACATCACAATTTTATGAAAATAAAATGCTCTTTTTGATGCCTTATTAAATGCAAAAAAAAGTTTCATCTGTTATCATCGCCTTCATTCTTAATTCATCTATAACTCCACATATTGGAGAGAGGGATTGGGGAAACAATTCTGCCTCTTTCAGTCTGGTTTCTTTGTGTCTGTATGTCTCTTCTGTCCATCAGTGGCAGCAGGAAGGGGCACTGGATGTGGTATGGTCTGAGGCAGCATCTGAGGAACCAGTGGCTTCCATAATCGCACCTACAGTTTCTACAGGAACCCTCCCCATGGTAGTGCATATGTCATCACAAGGTTGACAGCGATCATTAAAGACATTATTTTCCTGTTAACTTACAATCTGACTTTCTGTAACTTCTACCTTAGTTTTGCTTTTTATACATAAAAGTTACAATAACCCTTCAGTCTCCACCTTTCCAAGTAACTGAGAATAGCTTTCCTGTCCTCCACACCAATCTTTTTTTTTTTCTATATTTAACACATCCTATTTCTCTAACTATTCCTCATATGAAAGCTTCCAGATCATTCACCATCCTATAATTCTCGCTGAATAAGCTCAAGTCAAAGTCCACTATTCGTATTATCATTATCAAACACAGACCATTACGAATATGCTACATCCCCGAAAGTGTTCAAATAAATTATTTGCTTTAATCTTCTCAATGATGCCTTTCAAGGCAAGTATTTTCACCCTCATCTTTCTGTTGAGGAAACCCAGGTTCAGAAACTTTAAGGAAGTTCCTTGAAACCACACGGGTTACCAACAGCACCCCCCACCCCCAGTCTGGTGGCTTCAGAGCATTTATCGCATGTGATTGAAACACAGCCCTGCAGGCAGGATCTGTGCAACGCAGGGAACAGGATGGCTCGCTGCCTTCTGCAAACCGAACACTACGCTTCCACGGAACAGCCTGTGATTACAAAATGCTTTTGACAACTGTAACACACTGTTGGTTCACGATGAGTTTGTAATGAACTCAAAGCTAAAGATGAGTTTTACCCAAACTGTTACCAAGTCTGACTGCCCCTCTCGCAAACACACTTCCATTTTGTACTTGATCCCTTTTATCAGAGTAAAGTTTTACCTCCACTCCTGCTAAATGTTAGCTTTCCTGCTTTGCTTCAGTGTCCCACACTGTCCATTTCATAATAAAACTAGATTCTGACACTTGAGGCATCAATCTCTTTAAATAAGCAATGTAGGCTTTAAAGCTCTATATTGCTTACAAAATAATTGTTCAGCTGTGTTTCTGTGCCTTCATCAAGTCTTTGATACAGACTCAGTTTCAAGGAGAGCCAACACTGAAGCACACCTTCCCTGGGCAATGCTTTCCCTTCTCTGTTTACCTAGTATGCCCCGTGTGTAGCTCACCAGCCAAACTTTACTTTGCATTGTTTCTATCAAAACACAAGAGCCATTGTAACATGTTTTTTTTTTTTTTTTTTTTTTTAACTAGCACCTCATTGCCTCCTTGAGAATCACTCTGCTTGATTTACAATTCATTTTTCTTATTCAACCAATCAGTTACAAATTAATCCATGAACTTTACCGTGTCCAAATTTCTCCATCTTCTTCACAAAGATGTCAGTTGTGAACACGTATTTTCTGATATCAATGTCTGTGGTGAAACTGAAAAAATTCTACCAGCAAAAGTTTTTATATCCCAGAAAAAAAGTGACTCTTAAGAATCTGTCAAATGTATAAAAATAATTTATTTTAGAGGAAAATAACTGGCCAAGTTTGCTGTGCCACTCAAAATGTTCACAGTGACATTAAAAGAAAGGTAAATATAAAATAAAAATTTTGTAACTACGGTGATTATCTATAATGAATCTGAAGCACAGACATAAATTAAATTTGACAAAATGTTCGATACTACTTGTGCCTCGGTCAACCCGAAGGCATTATCCTCTCTATGTGAAACACTATAAATGTTCTTCTAGACTCTTGGAAGACTCTGATAGCCAGGACTCAAAGACTGCCAGTTTACCCTATTTATTCTATTATATAAATGCAATCGACAGAAAAATTCTCCTCAAAGTTAAGAGGAAAAGTTTCTCTTGACTTGGATCAATTTTTCCAGAAAATGCATCTACACTGAAAAAATACAGTATCTCTCAAGGTTATAAAAGTCCTGTAAGTTTCATAGTAAAACTCAGTTAGAAGTATATTACTGGAGCTGCCTGTTTCCAGGGTACATATCTGGATGAGGAATTGGACACGTTGGTCTAAGAAATTAGACAAAATCAAAGCCAGAAAAAGGCAAGAAATAGTTTTGTGCACGGTCCTTGGGGATTCCTGCAGCCGCCCATCAATGTTTATAAGGATACAGGATGACTAAATTTTCTATAAATTGGTATACAACAGCCTAAATAATTTTTGATGTAAGACTTTATTTTCAAAAACCATATAGATTTTTTCTATGTTCCTGCAATCTGTAACAATTTAGTAACCCACCTCTCATCCCCATCCTAAATGAATTCAACGTGAAATGGATTTGAATCTTCTGTTCCAAGAAAAACACTGGGTGCATGAATGCATTATACAAAACATAACAGGAATTATATGGGAGTTGGGAAGCAGAGGAAGCAGAGTAAATGGGAACATGGGAAATAAGATGGGCTTGGTATTAGCTGTCGTGAGGGACGAGGAAGAGAAATATGTGAGGACACACACGTGTGCACTGACTGTGCTGCCTGGGACAGAGTCTCAGCACAAGCCTGAGGAAAGGGTGGACTGTGAAAGCATGGTGGAATGAGAGGGTAGAGGGGCTGGCTTGGAGATGTGTGTGATACCCTCCCCGCTTTATGACAAGGGCAGGAGCTGGAGGCAGGAAGAATGAGCTCTTTGAATGAAGACATCACATCTGAAATGGAATCACCTTGCTAAAAGTGCAAGCCACTCCATCTTGGTGCACACACAGACCTGCTCCTAGAGCCTGAATTCATGCCCTGTGTGAATTCTCCCTTATACTCAGAGAACTCAACAATCAGCCGTCTCTGCAGCTCCAGACAGGTTGTGTTCTCATCTGCTAATTTGGTCTTGACAAACATCTCTGACAAAAGGCATTCAACTGCCGTTTCTCTGAGAGGAATCTGTTTCCCTTACAAAGAAGAACAAAGAGTATCCCCTTTACACTGAAACTGCAATGCCCACCACAATGTGCATCTTAAAAATTACTCATTCTCCAAGCAAGAGAAGGTCACGGACGTTTTCGAATTATCCCACCACCCCTATGTACAGAATTTGTAAGCTTTCCACCAAGTAACAAACGACGTCGCCATAAATTATGCAAAAAAAGGATAAAATTCATGTCAATAATAGCTCACAGCCGGGATATTAAAGTCTGTTTTTAAAGCTTTCAAATGTTTTTTTTTTTTGTTCCTACCATATTGTTGGAGATTTTATCTTTTAAAAAATATACGATCACATTTTACTTTTGACTGTAACATTTTGGGACATTATACATATTTTTAATCTGATCCCCTGTTAAGAGACTAGGAAATCATTTTATATTTAGAGACTGGGTTTGAGCAATTTCCCAGAGTCCTAGAGAAATAAAGAGGCATCTTGTATATTTTATACCAACATTCCCCAGCTCTCAATATCTAGGACAAAAAAGTCTTAAGACACACACTTACCTCTACATCACAGGTATATTCTGATCCATCTAGAAGTATCACTTTGCACTGCATGCTTTTAGGCTTTTTGGCAATCTTTAATGGAGACCGAGAGAGTTTACTGCTAGATGATTTCTGAGAAAGTTTATCGTCTTCTAATTGCTGATATTCGAGCTGTTTCGCAGCCCTGGCAGCAAACTCCTGTTCCTTGTCAGTGACCTGTGAAGAGCAAACAATCAACAGTTTTCATTGCAAGATGGGAAATAAATATTGCATTGCTCATGCAATAGCACAAAACTGCTTTCTATTTCATAGAGGAGAGATACTGAATTAGAAATATACAGATATTTATAATATTTGCCTAAATACTGTTTGCCATTTAAATGTATTAATAAGGCCTTATTTCATTTTAACTCCAGGATTTACTTTAGAACCACTGAGTTAGCAAATGCTATCAAGATTTCAATAAGTAAACAATGAATACTTGACTCTTGACTTTTTAAAAAGGATTGGATAGTACAGGCCTCTAAAATGTACTGTTTAGATTTCATCTTATATGTTCTATTTTTTTAATTCACCAGATCCTTGTATACTCCACAACTTGTTATATAACTGCCTCATCCCTACCTATACTAGATCTCTGATAAACTCTAAGGCTTGGAGAGCTTCAAGTATTAATCTTTTCAGTATTAACTTTTACAACTGTTAAAATGTTTAATTTAGCTCTCAATCAATTCAATGAAGTCAGCAGAACTGAAATTCATCACAAAGTAATCCCCTATGTCTGCTTCCCTTCACTGTAACGAGCCAGTGTAAGAACATATCACATCTGTCCAATAGCTTTAATCTGCTTTCAAACCATAAGAGACTAGTCCAGGCTAGATACAAAACTGCAGAGGACATCTTAAGTAACAGTAACATTCTCCCGTAAACCAATCTCTTTGGAAATGTGCACACACATCTCCAACTATTCTCTCTGTACATCCATCTTCTACCTATTAAATGGCCACCAATGGTAGTACTGCAAATTCAATCCTTGGGCCATGCCACCACTGTCACTAGTCTGCAAATATATGCTGACAGTCCAAGGGAAGATATGTACCAAAATTCTGTTTAGGGCTTTGAAATAAGCATGGAATTTCCCCTCCCATGAACATACTATCAGCCTGGTGCTAAAAATTCATGGGCTCAAAAGGTAAAGACAGTATTGATGGTTTATCATCTTAACTTTTCTATTAGACTTTACATTTTTATAACACTAATATAATTACAAAGGTATTTGGGTACATTTATTTTGGGTTTTAGGTACAGATTTCTGCTTTATCGTCATTTTCTATCTTGTTTTCCATCCAAAAGATTGCTAATATACTCCTCCTCCTCCACTTCTATCTTGCCCAGGATTTCAAGGCAAAGTCTTGAGAACTCCTTAAGAATTGAAAGAGACCAAGAGACCAATCTGCTGAGCTTATGAAAAGAAAGCAACAAAAAACTGAATAACCAATTCTAACAGCCAAAATAGTTGAGAAGGCAAGTTTTAGCTAAAAAAAAAAAAAAAAAAAAAAAAAAGTAAACTAAAGAAAATCTGCTCTGGCAACCCAGTCCTACTTATTTAACCACTGTCTTTCTATAGCAAAGCATTAAAATAGTAAGTGCAAGAAAATCATAAAATTGTCATTAATTTTAGCCTTGAGGTAATTTACAGAGTTTGATTACTGTGGTATTGTATTATCAACAACAATAACACATTCGTTAAGTGCTTTATAACTTACACAAATTTTGTACATTTAAGTTTTATTTTTGTCTCTTCATAGGCAAAGGTCATTAGAAGCTATTAATACATTTTTATTTAAATTTTACCTGAAATCAACATTTTCTATGTAACAGGGAAGACAAAATTTCACTTTTCCTTTACTAAAATAAAAACATCTGTATGAGAATAAGCTTCTGGGTTACTTTAAATGTCAATTCCAGAGGCATCTTAAGTCGTCAACATTCAAAGGATAGGCATTGTTTCTGGGAACACCGGAAACATGAACCCATGACTGAGGCCCTTATATATTTTTTAAAAAACTTTAAGAACTTAAAAATAGCAGACTAAGCACCTCAAATGAAATGTCAATCATAGTCATATGATGTGTTCTAATTTTAAATATCGGATTTTAGCAAATCCTCAATCTCTTTTAATCCTCACAGTAGCTCTATGGTATGGGTATTATTACCCTCATTTGCATATAAGGAAAGAGAGACATGGGAATCTAAGAAATTTTCTTGAGGCATAAATTCAATGGATTTGAATGGAATTCAAAACCCAGCCAAACCCATGTTCCAATCATCACTATGTACCAAAATCAGCTTCATTTTACCTCCAACAGTTAGCTTCCTAGTCTGAATAAAAGAATTTTGTGGAAGAATCTCAGAAATTATCTTTTCTGAACTCTTCATTTTGCAGATGAAGCTGAGGCTTGGGGACTTGCATGAGTTCTCTGAAGACGGTAAAACAACGACTAGAAGAGACAGGACTCCAAGGTCTCTGCCTTTTGCAGCCAGTCATCTCTCCCTGTTAGTGTCATTTCTCTTGTTTTGTATCTGACTACAGAAGATAAAGAAAGTATATTTAATCATGTCTAGGTATAGATATTCATACTTTTCTATAATTATCTCCCATTTTCATGTTATTTCATTTCAGGGTAAAAAGGAAAGAATGAAGAAAAAGCAAACATTTACTTTAGTAATTTTAAATGTTTGAAGATTAAAAAAACAAAATAAAAAGAAAGCCAAACACTACCATCATCATTCCTCCACAAAAAGAAAAGGTAAAAGAAAACCATGATGGCTACAACAGTTCCTAAGGTTTGTCTACTAAGCTGGGATGGGATCTCTCTGCTCTCCATCACAAAGCATCTGAGATCAGACAGAGCAGCTATTTATAAAGTGAAAATAATTGTTATTATTAATATTGTTTAAAGCAGAACTTGCGACATTCATTTTAAAATGGTGGCACAGAAGCGCGCTGATTTCCCTCCTCCCATTCCTCCACAGAAAACCTAAAACAAATATACAGCACAAGATTTTCACCAGCAACAACCCAGAACTCAGACATGAGGACAAGACAGATCCTGAGGCCATGGAGAAGTGGAAAAACTCCATGCAGATGGAAGAAGAATTGGACTTCCATAGTCATGATGCCCCTCCCCCTGATTCTGCCCGGCAATAAGAGTGCAGAAAATCTTCCCCCAACTCGTGGAAAAGTGATACTGGAAAAGTGAGACTGAGGTGGTCAACCAGCTTTCTCACCTTCCTGGGATTCCTTGCAGGAGACCTGTCCTTGCTTTAACACATGGGAAGGAAGTGATGTGACTGCCTGAAGAGAGAAATATTCCCGAGAACACGCAGAGAAAAAGTTGGGAGATGGGACCACCAGCCCTAGTCCTGGACACTCTGCTCTGTAACTTGGCCAAAGAAGACACCGAATCACAGCGGCTGTTCAGCAGCACCACGCTGGAGAAGGCACATTCCACACATCCCTTGGGCACAAACTCCTAGTCAGCCATCTCACACTGCCAGGAGAATCCCTTTGGGATCTCCCTCATTCAGAACAAGCAGCACTCCTATCGCTTACTAGAGCCAAGGCAAACCTGGGTTTAAAGGTCACCTAGGGCCAAAGCGGTGGCAGAGGCTGAGCGGTAAAAAATTTCTAGGGCCAAAGCGGTGGCAGAGGATGAGCGGTAAAAAATTTCTAAGCAAATATATCCAATAAAAAACAAAACAAGACAGACAGAGAAAACTGGAATTAAAAACTAATCCTTCCATACAAAGACACAGACACCCACTCACAAGAAACAACAGCAAACAGGAAACTATGACCTCCCCGAAAAGACAAGGGAAAATCCAACCCTACAAGATGGCGATTTGTGAGCTAAGAATTCAAAATACCAATTTTAAGGAAACTCATGAGCTCAAGATAAAAATGAAAAGCAATTCACAAATTTATCAGATATATTTGATAAAGAGATTGAAATACTTTTAAGAAATCAAACAGAAATCTCAGAACTGAGAAATACATTTGGTAAACTGAAGAACTCATGAGAGGCTCTTAGCAGACTGAACAAAGCAGAGGAGAGATTCAGTGAGCTCAAAGACCAGCTATTTGAAAAGACACAGATAAGAAAGAAAAAAGAACAAAAAAGAACAAAGACTGCATACAAGATACAGAAAATTACCTCAAAAGACCAAACCTAAGAATTATTGGTATTCAAGATGCAGCTGAGCAAGAGCAAAGGGTAGAAAACATATTCAAAGAAATAATCACAGAAAACTTTCCAAACCTTGCGAAAGATATAAATATTCACGTACAGGAAAGTCTGAGAACATCACACAGATTCAACCTAAATAAGAATACCACAAAGCAATAGACTCTCAAAGCTCAAGAACAAAGACAGAATCCTAAAAGCAGCAAGAGAAAAAGAAACAAACAACATGTAAAGGAGCTCCAAATTGCCTGGTAACAGAGATCTCAACAGAAAACCCACACAGGCCAGGAAAGAGTTGAATGACCTCTTTAAACTGCTCAAAGAAAAAAACTGCCATCTAAGAATACAGAATCCAGCAAAATTCAAATACAAAGGAGAGATCAAATCTTTCCCAAAAGAACAAACGTAGAGAGAATTCACCACCAGCAGACCCATCTTAAAAGAAATGCTAAAGAGAATTCTTCAATCTGAAATAAAAAACCACTAATGCGCAAAAAATAAAAATAAAAAACAACCTTTCAATGTATCAAACTCAGTGGTAAAATCAAGCACATGGATAAACCCAGATACTCTCTTACTGTACTTACTGTACCTGCAGTGTGCAATGTAGTACTACTACCACAATCATAACTCTAGTATGAAGCCCAAAAGACAACCTATCAAAAACAGTAATATCTACAGCAATCTGTGAAGAGATATGTAATATTAAAATATGCAAATTAGGACAACTAAGTCAAAATGTAATGGGGATGGAGTTAAAGTGTAGAACTGGTGTGTGTGTGTGGGTGGGTGGGTGTGTGCGTGCGTGCATGTGTGTATGTGCGGGTTTTTTTGGCCTTTGTTTCTGTTTTTAAATTTGTGATCTAAGATAAGCTGTCATCTGTTTAAAATAACTTGCTATGTCTATAATATGTTTTTGGTAAGCCTCATGGTAACCACAACACAAAAACCTATAATAGATCCACTAAA